GGGGTTGCTGGAGTGTCGTGGCTGTCCTGGGTGCTGGGAGCTGAGCGCCCCAGCCCTCGCGCTGCCTCTCTCCGCTGCTGCTGCTGCCTTGCATGTCTCTGTTCTCTGTGCTGTCTGTATGGGTATGGCAACAGAATCTGTGCATGCTGTTCTCTGCACACTCGGCAAACGTAATGTGGGAAATTACTTCTGTCTGGGATTTGGGATTTCACACTGGGGAGAATGACCCCTGTGGGATTTGAAAGCCTGCTGGGCTGCTGGGGCTGTGCATGGGAGGGCTGACAGCGCTTCCCTTGGTGGCCGCTGTGAGGGAATGGAGGGCAACTTTCGGCAGCTGCGCTGTGACTTGTGCTCCCCAGTTCCTTCTTCTCTGTGCTGGGTACAACTTAGGCACAGCGTAGCTTTGGTTTGCCTGCTGTACGTTAATGACTTTGGAATTGTCTTTGTTAGAGAAATGTGGCATTTTCTGTATTTTCTTCTACCTTGCCAGTAACACATCTTGCATCCACACATACTTGCTTCCAAGAGTGCACCAATACTACTTGCTTCTGTTTAGGTTAGACTTACCTGCAGCAGCTCTTGTGCTTTCTGCCGTGTGTAGATGCATTCTGCCGTGTGGCTGTATGGAGACCAAGGGACACACAGCTGTAATGGTGTGGGTAGATTTTCCGTGATGTCCAGGTGGTCTCTCTGCCCTTCTGCACTCCAGTGCATTAGGGTTATGTTCCTCAGAAGCCAGCACAGAGCCGTGCCTGCTATGGAGTTCAGCCGTGCACTTTTTTCACAGTGGACGTTGCCTTTGATATCTGCAATGAAAGTGATTGCATCGCCAGTTTTGCTCTCAGGGGAGGCTGACTGACAGACATGCTATCAGCAGGCATGAAGCTGAGGTATGGTATCCGATAAGCCTTAGAGAGAGGAGGTCTGGGACCAGTTCACCTCCTTGAAATGCAAAACATTAGCTTTCAGAACAGCTACTTGATAGGAGGCACCAGGAGCAGCAAGCAGAACCACAAGAAGATAAAGGAACTGAGAGACACAAGCAAATGCCAATGATGATGTCTCCACCTTGCGATGCAAACTTGTCTGTCTTGTGATGAACACCTCCAAATCGTTGGGACTTGTTACCTAGCCTGCTGTGTATCTGGAGAGCCCAGAAATGCCATGCAGTGCACTGGTGAATGACAAGGATAATCGGAGAGAGCACCAGCTCCAAGAACTGGGTGAGCCAGCAGGATGAGGAGTCGGGCTGAGAGATAGCAAGCACCTTGCTGACACTTCTGCACGGGCACGGAGATGGTCTGGGGGGAGAAAAATGAAAGGGACAGCAGGTATGCAGTTTTTGTATGCAGTTGTCTGCAACTGAGATCTAATTTGGCAGGCTTTGGTGCTGAGGAACTGCTTTTTGGAATTGCATAAATACTGCTGTGAATGACTAATCAGACAAATTTGTGGGCGGATTGTGCCTACCTCCTTGCTTGGCCGCTCCATGTTATCTTCCTTCTCAGATTCACTAGGGCAGGCAACAGCTGCAGAGCTCTCCCTGGCTGGCTCAGTGGCACCCCTTGTTATCTTCCAGGCTTGGCATGCCCCTCATTTAACCTTGCTCTCAAAACAACAGGGTTTGCTGTCCCCAGTTAGCGCAAAAGCACTTTGTTTGGCATGCAAAGTGACTGGCTGGGAATTGTATGGTTACAAGTCAAATGGTTTGAAATGGAAGGTGAAGTGGGAGGAAATTGAAAATTAGAGAAACAACCACAAAAGCTACTGTTATTGCAGAAGTCTCCTTTTGCACAATGGCCAGGGTTTCTGTCCTTCTGGCTGCAGCTGTTTCCCCTTTGGCGGGGCTGCAGCTCGTAGCTCGCTCTTAATAATTTCACTTTGCTTTGCCACATGGTGCACGAAAAACGTTTTCACCCAAAGAAGTGATAACAAATAAAATTGTCATAATGGAATATACTTACTGCACTTCCCATTGCTTATTGAATTGGAAAATACAATACGGTTTTCTTGTTTGTATGGAGATGTCTTCGTTAATTCAATTTGGTCTCTCTTTTCTCTCAGTCTCTAAAGTATAAGATCTCCCTGAGCCATCATCTAATCTTGCATTCAAGCCCATCCGCTGCTGCACTATCCGCTGTGGGCGAGTCCACTGCTCTTGTGCTTGCCAAAACTTTTGCTGCAGGATTTTTCTTATTTTTCCGCTTCTCTCTCCGCTGTCCCATAAGCTGCTCTGCTCTCTGTGGATTACACCCTTTGCAAGTGACGCTTACTTCAGCACTCTTAGAAACAGCTTTGTTAGTCAAATTAATTACCACTTCCTAGCTACTTATCATATCCCAATATCCAATTAATCCTGCTTTTCCACCTGATCTACACATCCTCTCTGCTCTTCAGTGTTCCTCGAATTCTGCTGTCCTCATCCCCAGCTTGAGGAGAAAGCACCTTGCAAGAAGTAGCACCCATCATTCAAAACTAAGCAGGAATTGTTACTTACATCATATTCCTTTGTTCTTTCAGTGCGCTGTAGGCTGTGGTTGTTAACTTTTTCATTTGTTATTTTTCATTTCAGTAACCACTGCAGCAGTGTGGACAACCCAGAATAGCCATGGGGCAGGTGGACTAGATCCACAGTGGTGGAAAGACTGGCAGATTTCAGGTCCAGGAAAGGAACACAGAGAAGACCTACATGAACAGGGACTTTACACTGATGTACAAGAAGGGAAGGAAAGGGCTTATCTCTGAGAAACTTTTCTGTTTTGGAAGAAAGATAGGGGAATGAAGCAGTCTCTTTTGATTTTTTGTTTTGCAGGTTTTGAGGTGGGAGCTGTTTGTTTGTGTGTTTATTTTCCAGAGCACCCAAGACTTGTCCTGCATTCACACAGTTCACGAAGGGAAGGGCTCAGGAAAAGTGATTTCTGGCTGCCAAGCTGATCCATCACCATATCCTAGCACTGCCCCTGTTGCACAGTTCTGCAGGGCTGCCCCCTACTTCCAAGCTGCTCTCCTGGCATCCCACTCATCCTCCACACTGGGAGGAGGACTGGAGCACAAAGCAGAGGCTTTCGTGTAACCTTGCACTGTCCAGCATCTCTAGCCCTTTGTAAAACAAATCCAGCGACTTGTTTTGGTGCTGCAGTCAGGCTGCAGCCCTCTTTGTATTTAATAAAGAAACTTCTGCAGAAGAGTCTGTGAATTCAATATTGAACATAGCATTCTTTACTCATAGTGGTGATCTTAAATCTCTTGCCTCTCTTATTCCACTGCAAGTGAACTGAGTGTAACGGGGGTGAAGTGTTTGTGTCTGAGCATATGTGTGCAGAAACAATAAAGACGTAACCCTGTACCCATCGAGCATTAAAGCTATGTCCTAAAGTATGACTTGGTCCATAACTGGATGAATGGAGCACTCCTTCCTAGATTCTTTGGGAGACAATATTAGACTACTACACACACAAAAAAAAAATTATATAAGCAAAAGGTAGAATTTTAAAAAGTTTCGCTTTTTTTTTTTCCTCAGTCCTATGATGCCTTTTAGATACAGGGGTTTAGTTAACAGTTTTTATTTCTCACTTATGCTGACAGTTCTTTGCACTGTGCTGAATCAATAGTAACTTGGTTTTGTGTATGCCATACAGAAAGTTGCCAGACATAATTGCTATTTAGTTGTTGTGGTTAATGTTAGTTTTACTGATAGGAATGGAGTCTAATCCTCTGAGAAATATCTGTGCTTTATAAAATCCTGACCCTACGGCCTCCGGCTTCCATTCAGTGTAGCCTGGGGAGGGCCGTAACGGTGGGACGTGCTGCTTTCCGTGGCAGGTAGGATGTAGCGTGCTCCATGGATTGTGTTCCCAGACCCTCCACAGAAATGTGTCTTGTGTTTCTGAGGAAGGACGAAGGCCTTCATGAGCTTTTGGAAACCTCCACGGGGACGCTGGGAACTCAACCTTCTCTCCCACAGTCTCCGTGAAACTTCTGAAGGTCTTTGAAACCTGACCAATGAATTGCTGCTCTCTAAAGCAGTGCCAAAGCCGGTGAGGTAAGCACCAGGGAGGCAGAAACAGCGTCGTGGGGCGACGGGCCAGACTGGTCCTCTCAAAGGGCAGAGAGGGGCTCCCCTGGCTACAGTGATGATAGTTGTGGCCCTGTGCTGAAAGTGCAATTTTGTTCTGAAAGCTGTGCTTTGACTTGTTACATGTGAAAAATGTATGGCATCTTTCTTGATATTTTTGTATTTATGCTTTGGGTAGCTTGTGAGAACGTACAAATTAGCTGATAAATTTAATCAGAAAGCTGGAACTTTGGGAATGTTAGCACTTTGTCCCAAGTACTTCCAGCCTATCCATTGATAGAGGCAAGTCATGACTACATCTAGACAAAGGCCAATTGTTTGTTTTAATGTGAAAAATAATAGTTGGCTTTTACCGTTATTCCTTGGAACTGAAAATTGTCCCTAGTGGAGATTGCTGCAATAAGTTTTCTTCCAGGGTAGCTCAAATAATTGCTTTCTTGCATTGTTTGGCATCTGCTGTTGTGCTGTTGAGTTGTGTCAGGATCACGGTCTGCCCTTCCCAGCAAGGCGGGCTCTAAGCTGTGCCCATACCCGTCTCAGCTGCCCGGGCTCGCTCCCTGCAGCGTTTCCTTCGGCGCGTGCAGTGTCGCTGCCGTGATTCCCGGGCAGGGCGAGCGAGCGAAGCCGGTTATCTGTGTGTTGGTGGGAAGCAGCAGGCGGAGCGGGAGAGCTCCCGGCAGAGCGGCACGGCCGCATCCTCGGGCAGGAGGGAGGCACCAGCCCTGTGGGAGGGACCGCTCCTGTGCAAGTCCTGAGAAAACATACCTGTGTGCCTGTCTCTGCAGGGAGAAATGCACATTATGAAAAATAATAGCAATAAACAGCAATCCTGAATAGCTCATTTACAACTCTCCAAGCATACCTGCTGCGCTGGCAAAGCCCAGGCTCTATCGCCTGTCAGGCAGGGTCAAGGTTTGTGCTGCTCCGCAGCCATCCATCTACTGCTGGGACACCAGTCTGCGCCAGCGGACATAGTCCAGTCCATTAAACCAATTAAAAAGCACAACTATGATTTGCTTTCTCGAAATAACTAGAACTAGAATTACTTGCTGCCTATGGAGGAACTTCTAAATAACTAAAGAAGAATTTCACAAACAAATGCTACACAATGATTTAATTAAGGTTAAGAAGGTTTTAGTGGAACTGTATGTCAAGGAAACATGACAAATATTATAAGCAGGAAATGCCAACAGAGAATACTTAAGAGTTCAGCTTGGCAGCTGTAATGATTTTAGGCTCTTGAATACTGCAATTCAGGCAGGCACACAGACTTACTCTGCCCTGTAGTTGCACAGCAAGGAAGTACAGAGAGAAAAATAGAGTCGTTATTTGAAGCTTGGTGCAACTTTGCTTGTGGATCATGGAAGCGCCAGCAGCGGCGCTTTCCTCCACCCCGGTACGGTTGTGTTGCCCCCGGCCGTCCCGAGCAGCGCAGAGCATCCAGCCGCAGCGCCCGCTGGCCGCCCCGTAGCGCCGTGCTTGGTGTGGGACGCTGCCGCCCGCGCAG